CTGTGACCATGCACTTACTGAATGGAGTAGTCACCCACCATCCTTCAGCTCTGCATCCATCCCAGAAGTGTGCAGAGCCAGCTGTCAAGTCAGGTTTTTCAGAGATTGAAGAAAATCAAAAGAAATTTAAAAACTTAATTAAAAGAGTTGCTGATCCCACTCTAGACTATCTAAAAAGTCTGCATTGTAATCAAGGGCAGAAGAAGTAAATTAATAAGCTAAATCTGTTGTAAGCAAGTGACCCAACACTGATGAAAAGCCACTGACTTATCTGGAGTGTCATTAAAAAAAGAAGAGGTTCAGGGCCAACTAAACTGATCTCACCTCTTCCAAGGTGGACTCTTGTCCACCACAGGCTGGCATCCTCAGTGGCATTGGTGACCTGCAGTTGCCCTGATCACAAAAAAATCCAGACCTGGGGGGCCAGGCAACACCCCCTTTCCTGCTCTTGCTGGGCAGCCCCCAAACAGTACTTGCAATGCACTGCTAAAACTTCCATGCTCCTCCAAGTCCTCGCTCAGTGGTTTCTTTCCTTCCAACCTCTTCCTGTTTCTATTTCTCATCCTTTGACTTCTGTCTGATAAACTGCTCGCCTTTTGAAGGCTGCTTCCTCAGCAAGAAGCCTGGGGAGAGAGCTGAAGGCTGCAGTTTGGGTACAAGTTGGGAAAATCCCACAGTGGCTCTGGAATCCATTTTTCTTTGGCAGCAGAGCTGTTAAGAGGAGTTGGCACCAGAGACAGAACCATTGTCTAGTGTTGCTATTCTTCTCTCTCCCCTTCAAGTCTTTAGCAACAATTGCATTTTCCCACCTATTTCAACTAACTTCTTTTCCCCTAAAGAAAAGATAGTCATTAGCATATTTTTTTGCACTGTCAAATAGGGCTTTTCTTATAAAAATTCTTCACACTAAGGGGAAAGTGAAGAAAAGATATTGTTAACATGAAAGCCTTACTTAATATTTTACATTTCAAATACTGTAACTGCTTTACTTTTCCCCTCCTTCTCCTTTTTCTGAATTTTCAGTATACAGTTTAAACATCATTAATAGTGTTGGTTGCTATGGTGTTGGGCAGGCAGAGGTGTCTGTACTTGAAACCTTGAACTACACTTAATGTTGTACAACAGCAGGGTCATGCCAACACCCTTGACTTTGACCCCATTCTTCCCAGTAAAATATAAAGACCATGACTCCATTCCTTTTCGTTCTTGGGAGAGGGTTTGGTGGTTTTTTTTCCTGCAATAAGAAAATGAAGTATGAGGTAGAGAAAGGTAGAGATATTAAAAAATTTTTAAAAAAAGAAAAAAATACAAATTTAATAGACCCAGCGGAACCTTTCCAAAATCTTTGTTACATCAAGAGAAAGAGAATAAAAGAAGACAGCCCCCTGAAAAGTTTCACTTGAGATTGTTTCTCATTTTCCCAAGCAGCTAAACATTTTAATAAACTAGGAAAATGAGACTGTAAAACCACAATATCTGACAGCAAGCCCCAGGGACAGGAACCATTCCTGAAACTAATTTTAACTCATGTTTTAACGTTGATCAGATTTCATGCGGTGAGCATCCCATTAAGCTGTCTCTCTGTTCTTAGAGAAAACCTGGTTTCTTTTGTCGACTCAGAAGCTATTTTCTTTCCAGTGTATTGTCGTCACAGGCATAGCAGGACTTTTCTGTCATTCATTTCTCTACAGCCCAAGAGATGCCCTGCCCCAGACATCTTCTCATCTGTTCTGTTTCCTTATGAGACAAGACATTTTCCACAAAAGTGGCACTTAACTGCTCCAGCAACGAAACCCAGTCTTAAACGGGTCCCCATGCAGCCACTCAAGGATTCAACCCATTAAACATCTGATCTTCAGCCATGCAAAAGGCACCAGGTCAATTCAGACCAGCTGAAGCCAGGATCCAAAGCAAGCTTTTGGTTTCTCTGCTTTGCCTTTACCCCAGGGAAGTGAGGCTGCTGTACCAGTTTCCTCACATAAATCACATTTTGCTCTGATTGCCACCAGGACATCTACAGCCAGGACCAGCTTTTTAACTCAAAGTCTCTATTAACATAAGCTGAAAATCTGAATGGGGAAAGATGATATATCCAAGTAGTGTCATTTTCTCTTGAAGACTCATTTCTTCTCACAAAACCGTATTTCATCTTCTGGTCGCGCCCAAACCACTAGTCCTGTGGGGCAGGACTTCTGGGTGCTGCATCCCTCTTCCAATAGCTGTGTCCCTGTTTTGTGCCACGTGGATTCCTGGCTGGCACAGCCGTGTGAGCCAAGGGCTTTCCACAACTCAAGGAATGGTCACTGGCCTCAGCTCGCTCCTGTGCCTGCTCAGGATGAACTTCTACTTCAAAGGTGCAACAGGAGAAAGCAAGGCTGTGTGCTGCTACACAAGCTGACTGAATGCCAGTAAGAACAGCCAGGTTGGAAAGCAGCTCTGCAGGCTCCTGCCTTCTGTTTTTTCCAGAAATTAAAGTGCTCGTTCCTTTCTAGATCCCCCTTCTCAGAGGTGGAAGGTCTTTCTGACGCCTTTCCTTTAAACTTTGTGTGCACTGTGTAGGATATGCTGGTGCTTGGGGGTGGAAGGAGGTGACAGAGTGGCCAGTTTTCAAAACGGCAAAGCCATAGTGACAGTTGCCTTTGGCTCTTCCAGCCCACCAGCAGCAGGCTTAGTCACATCAGCAGCATCAAAGCTGAGCAGCTCTTTAGAGAAAGGGCATTTGTCCTTTCATCTGGAGATTACAGGATCTCTCACAGATCCAAGCAGTCTGTTTTGAAATACTCTTTAAAGAAAAATACCTGTTTGTGGCACCACCTGCCATTTAAAACAGCCTCTCTGCCTTCTCTTTCTCTGCAGAACCCTCCCCCAGCCACTTAACTGTGTGTACAAGGACAAAATGATGCCCAAGTTCATTCCCCAGTAAGGACCATTGCCCAGCTTTCACACCAGGCACTGTATTGAGAAAAGGACCCTTCACAAACATGCCAGAAAGCCTGTAACCTATTTGGGTCCACTCCTTCCCCCTGTTATGCTCAGCAGGGAGAGCAGGAAGGCAGAAAGCTCCTATTGGCGTCTGGAGGGAAGCCCCACAGAGATGAAAAGCTCTTTGCCTTGCTGTTTCCATTCCTTCATGACTTAATTTTTTTGGTTGGGGACAGAAAAGATTACAAAGCTGTAACCTCTAATGCGCTCCTGAGCACTCCTTCTCCATCTCTTCCTTCCTCCTCTCTTTCAGCCAGCTCTAATCCTTTATGTCTCTTCTCACAGATAGGAGCTGGACTCTAATCTCAGATGACAGGTCAGTAATTAGAGCAAGAGATTATCCTGACCCCACATCAAGAAGGTAAAAGGAGAGGAATAATGCAGCACCATACAAGATCAAACCTTCAACATTCAATGCGGGAACCATCCCCATCTCACTCAGTTTCCCCCTGGCTCCCTTAGTCCATGCCCTCTCGTGTGTCCCAGCAGAGCAGGGGATTCCTGATTCTTTGTACTTCCTGCCCATCTCCTCTCTGTTGAGCAAGGACTATGCTTTTCCAGGATTCATTCAGCCCAAAAATGGTCACTTTTCCATTTCTATAGACTTTGACTATGCAGAGACTCAGCACGTCTGTGGCTGGGGAGTGTGGGCAGTACGGAAAGCACCGATATGGAGGAAGAGGCCCTGCTCAGAGAGCCTGGAGCCATGACATGCTGCCATCCACCAGGAGCTGGGCACCAGTTATGCAGACACAGAGCCCTTCTAGTCCAGCAAGATGCAGCCAGGGCACAGAGCAGCAGCAGCAAGTCCTCATCTCTACCCAGATGCCCAGCAGTCACTATCCAATCCTTGATCTGCTCAGAAGGATACTACTCCCATCCCTTGCACATATCCCAGCTCAGATGAGAAGCTCATTCATGTGTCCAGCCCATCATATCCATCTTTGGATCAGACCTTGTCTCTCTCTCTGATCAGACCAGTATTGAGTGAGGACCAAGAAAGCCATCATAGAGCACCAAGACCACCAGAGTGAAGGTGAAATTGGGAGCACCAAGCTTCTTCAGTGTCCCATTCCCTACAGGTGAACAGGTGTCACCTGGATCTGCTGCAGCTGATGCTCAGGCATCACCAGCCAACAGCCTGCAGGCACCAGGAGGTGTTGGGATAGAGGTGGCAGTGGAGGGATCGAAACCTGCTGGGGAGAAAGCAAAGTAAGGTCAGAGGACAGTTTTTACAGCAGCACACAGCGAAAAGATGGAAGACCTCTCCCTCAGGCCCCATTCCACATCAGGGACCCACCCTGCACCACAGAGCTCAGGAATGGTTGTCTTTTCTCAGCAAAGCCTCCTCTGATACCCAAATCCAGCTCTGGCCCATGGAGCCCAAGCCCACAGCTCACCCTGATCACGAGCAGGGAGATGGGCACTGCACCAGCCCCTGCTACATGGTTCTGCTGATGCTCTTTTCATCACCTTGCTGCTTCCCACCCCGCCTATCTCCAGCCAGGATCTTCCTACTCATGCTCTGCAAATAACAACTTTAGGTTTGTTCACTCAAATAGGAGAGGTAAATCAAAGAACAGTTTTGTTTGCAGTCAGCCTGAAATGAACCTTTTTCTTTTTTCCCTTCAGTTTTCTCAGCAAAGCATAAAATGAAAAAACAAGCAGAATTTCCTTTCCTGAGTTTAAAAGAACATTTCTGTTCCTGTCCCTGAGGTAAAAGGTTAGCTTGCTCAGCCTCAAAATGGGAAATAAACAGCAATACTTTTGGCTTAGGCATTGTCCAAATAAAATGTTTTGAATGCTTCATTTCTTCCCACTCACGCAAAAAGGTTTGCAACATTTATAAGCGTTCACAAATAGCTTAATGCTGGGATGCCCCTCACCTAATAAGCCAAGTGACTATAAGGTTCCTGTCCCTCCCTCTAGCCCTCCTGCACCCCGCTGGGCTGCCTCCCCCTTCCAGCCTGCTGCTGAGGGCTCACACAGCAGCAACACCCAGAGCACTCATGCCCCATACCTCGAGGGATCCTCCTGGGGCGAGAAGGGGCCGCTGAGCTCAATGACATTGAGTTTGTTCTCAAACACACCATAGCTGAGGGTGACCTACAAAGCAGTGGTGAGAATGGAGTAGGGAGAATGAGATGAGTTCAGGAGCAAGGAATTTGCTGTGGCTGACAAAAACTCCCATTCTAGCTCTTTCTCTGCTGGCTTAGCCTCTGCCTTCCACATCTCTCCTGACTTCCTTCCCATGATGGTCCACCCTCCTAGTCCTTTGCAAGGCAGAGAGAGTGCCATGTCAAAGGTCCTTTCCCAATCAATCATCATTTCTGCTTGTCCTTGTGCCACATTCTCCCAGGGATGCCCTCAATCCTCCCATCACTCCCCCTACGTGTGCTCCCCACCACTGATCCCAGGGCACTGTGACTGGCAACTGCGCTGCAGGCAACATCTGCTCCTTATTTCAAAGATGCATTTGTCAGGAAAGCCTCCCCAGAAGAGCAGATGGTTGATTCAATGCACATCACTGCCATCAGTGGAACAACGTGCCTGCAAGCTTCCTTCCACTCCTCATTCCTCACACACCTCCCTCTTGCTTCCTCTCCCCTCCTCACCTGCTGCAGGAGCTGAGAGGTGGGGATGAGCTACAGGTTCTCCAGGTGGGAGTGGAAGAGTGCATTGGGAATCAGCTGCCTACCGACTTTGCACTCGATGATGTAACCCACGGTGCAGTCATCCGGCAGGCGGATGAGCTCGGAAGTGCTCAGGAAGTTCCTGCCACTTGAAGAGAGTAAGGCTCCATGGGTTAGGAAAAGGGTAGGGGCAGAAGTAGGCATTCACTTGGGCAGGAGATTACTGAAAACCAGAGTAAATTCTGTAACTAGGCAAGAAACCCCTGAGTTCTGCCTGCACGTACTCAGGAACAGGCTTGCTCTTTCACCATTCCCAGCCATGCTGACCCCGATACATAATCCAGGTCCTTGGGAAGCTGATGCAGAGAGCTGACAGACATCTCTGAGTCACTTCTCCACATGTTTGATGAAGTGCACTGAGGGGCCTGGGGGGTCTGGGGACACCCCTGGGGAGTCAGACAAGCCATCACAAGCGAAACAGTGGGAGCACATGGCCAGATCCAGGGAGAAGTAAAAACAGGACATGCAGCTTGGATAAGCCATCTACTGCAATGTAACACCACATACTTGGCCACCTTCTGATGACAGTCTAAACCCAATTTTAAGGCTTCTGGAATTGGAATTATTTACACAGTATGAAGTGCTGTCCACTACAACAACCCCAAGAAAACTGAAATGTGTTTTAAGCACTTTAAAAACAGTAGTGGGAGACTTTATGTCAGGTTAGGCATAGTCCATCTGTGCCACTTTGACTTTACCCCAGATCACAGATCATCCTCTTGACTGGGTCTCCATAAAACACTTATAATGGCATTTCACTAAAGCAGCCACCTGGTGGGGATCAGATCTGTCCTTCTGGGAATGCTCAGATCTGGGTAAGGCTGGTTAAGGCACAGCCAATGCCCACCAGTGTACGTGCCTGTGGTATAACCTAGGGCATCATCTTGTTCTAGGCTGGGATAACACGACCTTGGGACCTTCCTCTGTTCTCCAAGCATCAAGCTGAGGAATGACAGTGGACACCTGAGAAACCAAAGAGGGCATGGGGTGAGGGAACAGAAAATTAGCTCAGGAGGGAGGTACGGAAAGCTGGAAAGAGGCAGATGAAAGGGAGATGAGATAGGCAGATGGAAAGCTGAGATAGTCAGACAGATAGTCAGACGAAGCTGAAAGGGATGGGAAGGAGTGAGGGGCGTAACCAAGGGCCTTAAGGAGAGGGGAGAGAGGAGTGCATCATCCTGTGACCGTGTTTACTGATGTGCCTGCTCTTGCCGGTTTTCAAACAGTTGGCAGACCCACCCGCTACATCCTTCCTGCAGTCTCACATCTTGCAGACATGCAGCACGTGGCACTCTGCACCTCTGCAAACACCACATGCACAAATCCAGGTCTGACACAGCCAGGAATTAATGTGCAGCCATGTTGCTCATCCCCAAAGGCTCCCACACTCCCCAGCTCACCTGGCCCAGGGCACCATCTTCCTTGCCAGCTTGCGGCTGATGCAGAAGCCAGCCCCTCCTGTGGCAAACCAGAAGTGCACAGATTTCTGGAGAGAACCAGAGAAAATCAATGGCAGAGGCTCAGACTATACCATACTCCCAGAGCTGGGAATGCTGGAAACCCGGCTTTGATGGCAGGACAAACACAGCCCCGTGACTGCTGCCCAGAGGAAGGACTTGCTAGCAGTACAGCATGGATTTTCACTTCCTCATAACTGGAACAGCCAGTTGCTCCTGCTGGCAGCAACAGGTGGGGTGCCTAGGGCAGGCTTTTGTCCTGTCAGACATGTACCCAAAGGAGAGCAGCAACGTGGGACTCTGCCCCTTGGATGATCAAATTTAGTCAACACCTACAGCCATGTTTAGACAAGATGGCAAGTTTTCAGCTGTTGCCATTCCTCTTGGGACCTGTCTCTCCTTGCAATACAGTGCTGGTTTTGGCTGGAGTAGAGTTAAGTTTTTTCACAGTGGCTGGTGTGGGTTGTGTTTTGGATTTGTGCTGAATACAACTTGACAATACAGAGATGTTTTTGTTATTGCTAAGCAGGGTTTACACAACAGCCAAGGCCTTTTTTGCTTTCCTACTGCCACACTTGTGAGGAAACTGGGGGTGCAAGGGAGATTGTGAGGAAACACTGCCAGGACTGGTGACCCCAACCGACCAAAGGGATTTTCCAGACCATATGACACCATGCTTAGTATATAAAGTGTGGGAAGAAGGAGGAAGGGGTGGGACATTTCGAGTGATGGTGTTTGTCTTCCCAAGTCACCATTACACGTGATGGGGCCCTGCTCTCCTGGAGGTGGCTGAACACCTGCCTGCCCGTGGGAAGCAGTGATTTAATTCCTTGTTTTACTTTGCTTGCGTACATGGCTTTTGCTTTCCCTGTCTTTATCTCAACCCACGAGCTTTCTACCTTTTGCCCTTTCAATTCTCTCCCCACTCCCTCTGGTGGGAGAGTAAGTGAGCAGCTGCATGGGGCTTGGCTGATGGCTGGGGTTAAACCGGACAAATGTGAGCCAGAGCACCAAAACAACCCATTGCCCCCACCCCACCACCACTGCCACAGGCTGTACCGTCTGGTTGTTTGGCAGCGTTTCGGAGGCCCAGATGGGTCGGTTCAGGCTGGGTTTTCCCAGGTAAACATCCCACGTCTCCGCATAGGAGGACAAGAGCTTCAGGAGCGCCCGAGGGTTCAGGTAGTTGTCATCATCCAAGTGGCAAAACCAGCTGGGGCAGACAGGAAGACACAAGAAGCTTGCAGTAAGGAGGGTGCCTTTTGCTCTCGGGGGTCCCCCCACGGCAGCCCTGCCTCACCTCAGGCCGCTGGCCAGGAAGGCGTCGAACTCTGCAGCCATCTTGCAGGACAGGGCCAGGTGGCTGTGCTCGGCAGAGCAGTTGGTGAAGATCACATGGCCACCTGCCAGAGGAGGGAAAGCTCAGAGCCAGCGCACTTTGCACGGTCACAGGGAGGACATCTGGGCAGGAGGCAAGGGGTTTGTTCACAGACAGTCTCCTCATGGCTCCCCAGAAGGCATCCAAGCCCATGGAGACACGGGTTCCACTCCTACCCTTACCAGGAAATGAAACATGGACAGAGCCAAGCAACTTGGCCAAGACTAGGACGCCTGCCATCCACATTTCCACCCTGCCCACTGCCAACCATGATGCAGAGATTGAGGGGCTCTGTCATGTGCTGCTTCTACCCATGGATGCTTTAAAGCAGACAGCACCCTGCCTCCAGTCGGCTGCATGCCCTGGGGTAAGCCAACCACACCAAATCATCACCATCACAGGACACAGCAAAGGATGTGTTTCAATGGGGAGTGCTGGCGCAGGACAGCCAGCCCTCACACCAGATCCCCTCTCAAGGCCAGGACAGTTCAGGGGCTGAAGGTGGTGTCATAGGATAGGTCATTACCCATTCTCTTTTTCAAGGCACCATCTTCTTCATCAGTGAAGATGTAGGTCTGGGGAAACAATGAAAAGAGATTACTCTCAGGGATGGAGCTGGTGATTTTCCTGGTTGCCCACTTCTTCCTCCCACAGCTGGACACACTTGACATGGTTACCCCACTCCATCCTCTGCTGCTGTACCCACTCCCAGGCAGCAGATGAACAGAAGGACGGCTGTGCTCCTCCTTCCTGCAGGGCACAACCATCAGTACTTGTATGGCTTTATTTTCACCCCCATGCCACTGCCTTGGGAACAGGGGACCCATGACACTGAGCGAGGGGGCGAGGTAACCCTGGATTAGGTGTCAGTGGTAGAAAAATTAAAGCATTGTGGTTAAATGATGCTTGGGGTAAAAGAACATCTGCTTGTGTGTGAAGTGTGCACAGCCCCCTGCCACTTTCCGCCCCCTCCTCCTCCTCCTCTTCCACTCCCAGGCTTCTCTAATCCCCCTTGCTGCCATTATGTGGCACATCTCCCCCTCTTCAGAGCCAGGCAAGGATCAGAGCTGGTGGAGAAAAGCTTTCCTCAGGCAGAAAATGAGCTTTCATGAAATGAAAAAGGAGTCGCGAGCCATAAACAGTCTCCCCACCAGCTGCCCACAGGCTGGTTAAACACAGCACCTGCGCAGGCACAAAGGGAACAAGGCAGGCAGACAACAGCTCCAGGAGCCATCACTGCTCCCAAAGGCTCTGGCAGGGAGACACGAGTCTCTACATCTCCCCCCACCCAGTATTTGGGAGATATACCCCTATCTAGAGGACACAGCAGGAGAAATGTCGTGTACGTGAAAATAAGGCAGTGAAGGACCCTCAGAGATACCTGGCTGAAGCAGAGACAGCAGGATGGTTTCCTTATCTCAGATGGATGAGCTACAGCGCTCAGTGAATTACCCTCGCAGAGCTGAGCTGCAGCAATGGAGCAGGCACACATTCCTACCCCGCCCCACCAGTGAAGTCTCCCAGTTAAAACCACTTCCAAGGGGATCATGTGACAAGCAGCAATTAGCCAAGTCTCAGGTAAAGGAACTGCTCTGGGTCAGCGGACCATATCACAACCTTCAGGCAAGGCAGAGATTGTCAGCAGCACGGGATTTCCCTTGCCAGCATGTCAGAGTCAGAAATTTCCACTATGGCAAATATTTTCATCTTAAGAAAAGCAAAATCTGAAGCCGTTGAAACTTTCTGACATTTAAAAAAAAATCCCAAGAAATATTGTTGCTGGAAATTACTTGCTTACAGATATAAAACCAACTTGATATCACGTGTCTAACAAACATCACATTTGATTGACTTAAAATAGCAAGATGCATCTTTTCCAAAGTTTATACTTGTAAAAATATTCTGAGGTTCCCAATTTTCTCTTGATGCAATATGAGAAATGTTAGTGTTTTTTCTGCAGACATCCAACATGTTCCTGTGGAACCCAAGGATGAAAGTACACTGTCACCACAGGCAGCACCAGACTGTCCAAAATAACTGGGAAAAGGAAAATATGAGTGTGGGGACCAGGCAAGTCCAATTTTTCTGGCACTTTCAAACTCTGATCTCCATGGCACATCTGGCTGTGCTCAAGAAGTGCAAAAGATCACAACAGCACATGCAGCGGCCTCCATCCTCATCTCACCATCCCTCACATACCTGAGGGTGGGAAACCTGGCACAGCAGTTGCTGCCAGAGATGAAGCACAGAAAGTATCTCTCCATTCTGGAGTGGAGAAGACGTCTGTGTAGGAAAGGATGTCTGCTGGACAGCAGTGCGAGCAGTGATATGGAGCCACTGTGTCAAACAGCTTTTTTCTGGCACCTCTTCATGAACAGAAGAGCCCAGGCAATGGATAAACACTGGACTTTGAGACCTCCTCACCCCAAATTGGGGAAATAGCCTAGCAATAAAAAAATAGGAAAAGGGAATAAAGATGTGGAACCTGACAATCCAGGGCCATGTTCATCGCCTAAGCTCCCAAAGTATATTTCCCTATAAAGAAACCCTCTCCAAAATGCTAACGCATCAGAGGATTACTGTTGTGTCCTGCACAGACAACAGATTGAAAATCTGAGGTGCGTTCACATCACTGAAAATCTGAAAGCCAATTCAGGATGGGCCATTCAAAGGTTTCCTTCCAATTGGCTGGATGTGTGGGCTTCTAAAAGGAGGGGAAGTGCTAAAAATAGTTCACGTTACCAAACCACACCAGAAAGCTCGACTTATCTCCATCAAAACTACTGGGGCCAGGAGTGTAAGTCACTCCAAGATTCTGCCCAGCTAAATAATCATCAGAACCCACACTTGTATTTAGATTAAGCTTTTGCTGAGGAAAAGGCCTTTCACAAAACTGGCTTTCACATCAATCTCCAGTTTGTCATGGATCAGTTCTCATGAGGCAGAGCATGGTCCAGCAAAGAGTGCCCATCTCACACTTCCCCATCTCTCACCAACTGCATGTCTTCAGATTAAACAGAGCATTTTCAGATTAAACAGAGGTATTTTCTACCCCAACAGAGTCCAACACAGAGGATTTTTAATTCAGCTCCCATACAGTCTGTCCTTGCCATCAAAACCGCAGCTGTTCCTGCCTCCTGTTACAGTCACCTAAGCCTGACCTGGGAGGTCTGGGTTGCTTCCTCCAGGAGGAAAGCATGCAGGTATCCAGCTCTGAAGCCAAGCTAGGCATCAGCAACACAGCCAGCTGGTATAATTTCCCTGCTGGCTGCTGGTGGAGAAACACTCACTGAATTGGTCTCTGGCCATGATTAAGGGCAAGTGAGACAGTAAGATGCTGGACCAGCCCTAGGAGAAGGCAGCCTCTGCACATCAGGACTTCTGAGACCTACATTTCTCCAGGACTGATTCCTAAAGCCTGTCTCTCCATAAGGACTCAATAATAGGAGGTCTGGTGCACTATTCCTGTCCCCACAACAACTGAATGTCCTTTGCAAATTGAAAGTTGTCTCTTTTTTTGCTAAGAGAGGTTTTCTATATTGTCAAATTTTCAAAACTAACCCTTTCCTGTAAACTTAAAAAAAAAAAACCCTTAAGCAGGAATATATTAAAAAAAAAAAGTTTTTGACTTTCATGTACTTCTCTTTACCTCCCTTCCTGCTCCCACTCCCTTCCCTCAAAGCCATTTCATAAAAAAGAAGAAGAAAAACACAGAAAATTGAGGAGGGGGAAGGAAAATATCGAGCTTGCAACAAAAATTGACAATACTGAAAAAACTCTGTTTAAAAATGAGTGACACTCCCGTTCTACCCCTTCCTTCCTATTTTTCTGCTCAGTCTGTGTAGAGTTCTGGAGGCTGGCAGCAGCATGGAAAATTCAGCACCTCTTCCAAGGTTTGGATATCACTTGCATTCCAGAGGGGATCAGATGAGTCTGGGGAGCTAGTACCTAATTCCTCTCATCAGCAGAATGGCCAGGCACTGATTTGTCAAACAAAGGAGGGACAGGTGAATTCCTCCTTAAAAACCCTCTGGGAAGGCCCCCCCATGAGCAATATCCTAATGCCAGTGCAGCCACTGGTTGGGTTTGGTTTCTCCAAGGAGCTGCTGGGCTGGAGCTGGCTGGAGAGAAGCGCATCTGCAGGAGGGAGCAGGGCATCTCAGACGCTGAGAGGGACACGCAGCCAGGAGAGGAAGCGTGCTCAAAATAGGACATGGCTTCCTGTGACGACCGCAGCAGACCAGACAGTTGCAGCACCATGAAGTGGAAAACCAACCTTACCCAGAAAACCCCGCAGTGCTTCAGGCGCTCTCCTACCCAGCACCTCCGCCCCCGTCCCCCTTCCTCGCTGGGGCCTGAATTTGCCTCACAGGCACCCATCACACACAGGCAGAGGCAAAAAAAACCACCCTTCAGGGCAGCCACAGGATTTCTTATTTCTTGAGGAGCAGCTCTGCGAGGGAGGAAAAAGCACCAGGGCTTTGGGGAGTACTGCTGCCCACCAGTAATCCAGCCTGCACAGCACCACTAATGTGGTGCCCCACATCAGTTTCTCCAGCAGGAAGGAAACTCTCCAAACTGTTTTAGCAAAGGATGGAAACATTGGGTCCCCAGTTTAAAAAAAGGAAAAAATAAAAAGTCAAAAATACGCCCGCATTACTTCAAGATCATGCACATGAAAGCATCTGCCCAAGAAGTATGGACTGTGCTGATATGCTGGGGGGTGAGCAGGGCTAACTACAGGAGGTCCTCCAGGAGCCTGCCTGCCTTGTTCTTTTGCCCACTGCACTGCACCTCTCCAGGGCAATGGGTGCCCAGGCACAGTGTAGGCATCCTGACAAAGGGCCAGGGGAGCCTGTCAGTTCCAAACCCAACAAACTCATGGCACTAGGAGAAATGGAAAGCCACCATTTCATACAGACACAGGATGGTCTGTGCACTCAGTCTGGTATGGCATCTTCACCAGCCTTTCCCAGGAAGCAGCTACCGATGAAACATTTTGCTGAATAGCATCTCCCTTTGAATGTGAAGTGTGAAATAGAGAAAATGAGACAAAGTACTGAGGGGCACTACAGTGCCCAGCCTCCCCTTCCCCTAGTTTTTATCCCCTTGCCCAGACACCCCATGCCTACCCCATTACTAACACCTTCTCTCCAGTCAGAATCCACACACTCACCTGTTCGCTGGCCTGGGATATCCAGGTGTCCAGGAGCAGCTCCATCCTGCTCTGGTGAAACCTCTTGGTTGTTTTCACAGCTATGAAAATGTCCCCAAGCGTCAGGCTTCCCTCAGTCCTGTACACCCACGGCGCATGGAGTCTGAGGTCCTTCTTCCCCCTGCCAGCAGCTCCCTCTGGGCTCCCTTCGCTCTGTTGCTCTGGCTTCTCCAGCATCCCCTCCCCGATCCCTGGGTACTGAGCTGCTTCCCGAGCCCCACGGTGCCGCATGGAGAGGAGAGCCACGCTGGCAAGGAAGACTGCGGCCCCAGAGACACCGCGGATGAGCCGACGGCCCATGGCCCCCAAACCGCTCCTGCCGCAGCCCGTATCCTACTGAGCCAGGACAAGCTCTGCCCGCACCTCCGCGTGACACTGACTGCTCTTCTCGAAGCTTCCAAGGGGACAAGCTTAGTCAAGAGCAAGGTCTGAACAGATGTGGCCAAGGAACAGGGTGGCCAAAGACCAGGAAGCCAAAGACTCGGCAGAGCTGAAGGATCCCGCTGAAGCAGAGGGGATTTTCAGACTACGGAGAGCTCAAAGACCCAGCGAGGCAGGGACACACGACTGGAAAACACTCCGAGGCGACGGCACGTGGCTGGCACAGCCTGCCAGGAGGAAAGCCAGCATCCCAGGCTGGGTGTCGAGGGGGAGGCAAAGGACATCAGAGCCACGAGTGGGAAGTCCGGAGCGAAGGCATCAGAAGCCACCAGCGCACAGAGGCGAGCCAGCGGCTCGGGCAGCGTGCGGCCAGGCTGCCCGGCACCTGCTCCCTCCCGCAGCCCCGCTCCTGGCAGCCCCGGCCCCGCCAGCCCCGGCCCCGCCAGCCCCGGCTCCTGCCAACCCCGGCCCCGCCAGCCCCGGTCCCGCCTCCGGGCACGGGGCGGGGCGCCAGCCCCGGGAGGAAGGATGGAGAAGGGGGAGGCCTGCGTCTGACAGCGGGTTAGGCTCACCAGGGCATCCCCGCGCTGGGAGACCCTCAAGGTGACAAACTGGGAGGACAAACCTGTTGCTTGACTGATGTCCCCGCTTCTCTGTGACAGCCCTGCTCATGCCGGTGCTCTTGAGAGAGGAGGGGACGGTGACACTGATGTGGGCTCTGATGAAGTTAATGTGCGGGGTCCTGTGTGGTTCTTGCGAAGAACTATTTATCCCCCCGAACTCCCTCAGCCCCATACTTTTCTGGGTTGCTGCCCCTGCCTTTTAGTCCCAGCTTGCCTCCAAAGCAGGATCATGTGTTCCCTGCTGTCCCTCCTGCTGCCACACCCGAGTCTCAAGCTGGGGTGTGACCCCCCACTTCTGATATCCATCTCCCTAAACCATGACTCTGCTTCAGAAGGTCCCTTTTCCTCTGTCTCCAGCCCTGCAACCCCCACCAGGATATCCAAGGACATTCTACTGCCCAGGTGGCAGCAGAACCAGTGACACTCACAGGAAGAGGTGCAGCAGCAACCAAAAGCATGAGGAAGGGTGTACTGCCTCCCTTCCAGCTGTAGAATCACAGAATGACTTGGGTTGGAAGGAACCTTAAAGGTCATCCAGTTCCAAGCCCATGGCCACGGGCAGGGACACCTTCCACTAGACCAGGTTGTTTTAGAGCCCCATCAAACCTGGCCTTGAACACTTCTGGGGGAGCACAGGGTCGGGGTGCAGTGTCACTGCTGAGTTTATATCCCACCCAGGGCCTTGCCCCCTGCAGCAGGGCTGAGCTCATCCGTTTGTCCCTTGTGGCTTTCGTGCTGTCCAAGATGTCGCTTCCCTTTCCCTGGGAAAGGAAAGGGAATGTCCTCTCTCTGTGGACACCCTCAGAGACCTGCAGGCACAGCAGCACAGTGGCACCCCCAGCTCCTTTCTCACGCCCCACCTTCACCACTGGTTTCTCCTGAGCCACCTTTACTTCCAGCCTTCTGGGTGCCAGCAAGGGTTAGGGATATCAGAGGATAGAGACAAGGACAGAGACCACCATGGAAGGGAAATTTTGGGGTCAGCACCACAGATTGCTGCATGCTTTTGCTGGTTCAGTTAGACACGGGGTAGGTGACCATGCAGTCCCCTTCCCACTACCTGCAGGCTACTTTATAGAGTAGCCAGAGACATCCAGAGGGACAACCAGCCCAGGAGGGGGGTTGATATCCATGCCCCCATCTCAGCTTCCCTGTGCAGCAAGCGTGGGGACAGCAGGATGGTAGTGCTCTACATAAGCTGCCGAAATCAGAGCGCCTCCTCGGGGAGCTACAAGCTGTGGGCATCCAATCTCAGCATACCAAAAAAATAAAAATAAAAAGTAATAAGTTGGGGCCCTGGAAAATTGGCGGGGGTGTGGAATGGCTCCATGTGGAAAAGGACACCCCGCCCCATGCACATGTCAGATCATGGGACCTTAGAAGAGAGAGGCAGGGCAGCCTGCCAGGGTCCCTCTGTTCCACACTCCCACCGTGTGTCCAGCCACAGGCACTTCCCAGGCACACAGGGAAGACCTTCCTGTGGGGCTAAACCCATTGCTCAGTTTCTCCACATCTCAGACACAGTTTTGCTCTGCCCATGTCCCTGGCTACAACTTTTTACTTTTGTAAGGAAGAAACCACTGAATCCACTTCTCTTTCCTCCTCCCCTGTACTTCTCCAAGTCTCAAAGACTCCTGCCTTCCCCTGAAGCAAGAACATCTCCAGAGCATCTCCCATATCCCTTTGGAGAGTCCCTGCAGGTTTTATTTTTAGATTCTTTTGAATACTGATGCTTTCTTATACTGATTTGGGGCACGGGGGGAATCATTCACCTTCAGGCCTTACATTACTGCAGGGATGTGAACCTGGTGTGACTGGGATTGCTCACATGGCTGGCCAATGCTCCTGAACCAGAAATTAACGTCCCTGAGTGCTCCAGCCACATGCCAGCAGCCTCAGGCACCTGTAAAGGAAGCTTCTATAGCTCCAAGGCATCCTGCAGCACCTCCCAGCTCTGGCTTAGGAGATCATTTGGGAGGCACAGGTGGGGCACAGGCAGGGCCCCGTACTGATGGCTCCAGAAGACATTACAAATACAATTCAAAGCTACCTCATACACACCATGGTGCCAGGAAATTCTGCTGGGGCAGCGGTCCACTGTGGACTTCCCAAGGTGACACATGTGCCACCTCAACAACCCCCTCCTGGAGAGAGAAATCCTGCTCTCAGTGACTCTTTACAGGGGTTTGCACAAGGCTGTTACAGCTGGTAATTGGTGCCCAGGGCTGCTAATTGCATTGTGCCTGTTACCTAACCTGTGACTCATTCCTCCAAGCAGCAGCCACCCCCTAGGAGGTAAAACAAAAGGTGGGCTGGGGTGTGCAGGGCAGAGAGGGTCATTTATGTTTGCCTTGGAGCCCTCTGCTCCACTTCTCTCCCATGTCCATAACAGGTTAAAGCTGGACTTTGAAAGCCTCAGGGGAGAGAAGCTGGATGAAGAGAGAGCCTGGAAGAAGCCTGGGAGCAGGGGAGGCAGTGCTGCTGCTGCCTGGCCAGCTGGGCAGTGCCAGCCTGCCTCCCAGCAGCCTCCCTTTGCCTCCCTTTCCCTGTGGTTGCTGGGAAGTGCTGGGGGATGTGATTCTTTGGGAGGGCAGCAAGGGCTAAGCTGGGAGCACAGCCTGACTATCCAAGGTGGAGGGGCTGCTTTTAACCCCCCTCAGCCCAGGCCATAGGGCTGGGGCTGGTTCCCAGTGCCAGCAGGGACACGAGGAAGTTTGAAGCCCTGAGTCACAGTGCCTCACACATAGTGTTTTCCCCGAATACTCAAGTGCTGCTTTTCCCCAGCAAAGATGCAAATTCCAATCTCCAAATCCATGACAGGGTGAATGGGAACTTGTTTTGCGACTTGTCTTCTCATCGGCTCAACAAGAATCCCACTTTGTTTGCCTGCAGGGCAAGCACCCTCCCAGGGGACTGGCTGTGCTCGGATGCTCAGGCTGCATCCCCTGGAGTGGATGCCACTTGGGAGCTTTCATCTGGAGCCCTGTGTGTGCCAGCTCCCCCTTCCCTGAGAGAAGAGCTGCATGGCTCCAGGGCAGAGTGAGAACTTTGCTCTACATTTTAGTGACTGCAAGTTAAAATCTTCATTTTCTTTCCTCCCCCTTTCACTCTCGTCCTCATAAAAGACACAGGCAACTGGTTTAGAGCCTGAAATAACACCTCACAGGGGACTCATGAAGATCTGCAAGTTAATCTTTGCTCAGAGCTTCACAAGTGCATGACACCAGCAGTGCCAAACCACAGGGGCAAGGGGGACACAGAGAACCTGACTCTGGTGCTGGTTGCCCATCTTCTCCCACTGACCCAGCGTCAGCAGGCTCTGCCTGACCTCATGCCCCAAGAGCCCCAAGCCTCCCAGAGCCACAGACTTCATTTTCCTCTGGCATGCCTCAGGAAAGACCACCTACCACCACAACCACCACCTCTCCATAGCGTGGGTATCCTGGCACCCCTTTCCTATGGCATCTGCTAGTGGTGGCTGCATAACAGGATTCAGGACCATGCAGCCTAAGTGAGCACTGCTGTGGCTACCCAAAGCCTCCATCTTCCCCCTGCCAGAGTCTGAACCCACTCTTGGCCCCATGTCAGGGTGAGGAGCCCACCTTGCAGGGGCACCGTCCCCCTTTCTCCTAGCAGCATGGCTGGGCTCAGTCTCCTTGTTGCCCCCCAGGAGGGTGAGGTAGCTGGCTTGTCACGTCACGCCAACCAGGGCATGGAGGGATGCAAAGCTCTAGGGATCCCAGCCAGACACAATTCAAAACTCAAGTGAGTTTTTCCCTGACTTTCCTAAGGCACCCTGACCAACAGTGCTGGGGAGAGCAAGGGACTGAAAACTAGGGGCCAAGTAGAAAAGGGAGGGGACTTAGTCTGTGGCATACTTAGCCTGTCCTCTCCCCACACTTCTTGCTGCCCTACAAGAGCAATGGCAGTGCTCCCTCCTTCCCCTGGAGGGCTGGGCAGTTGGGTCTTACCCGAAGGAGGAGAAAAATATCCCATCGTGCATCACCCACACCTCCCCAGTAACACACAAGCCCGCAGCCTGCCACCCATTCCCATTATGAATGGTATTTAATTCTCCTTTACAGGCGGTTTGCCAGTGAAAGGCTCCATTAATAATTTACAAGCAATAAAGAGTACAGCTCCTATAAAACAAGGGTTTGTTGTAACCTTAGTGTCACTCCAGCCGCAGTGGGTCACGGGTGTATGAGCCATGCTCCCTGTGCCATGGGGCCAGAGGCGAGGTAGATGAGAAGAGAGGACCTGGAGCACACGGTGCCACTGGGCAGGGGAGATGGTGTGACAGGAGAAGAGCTCAGGAGCTTGAAATCTGTGTGAGAAATGCTCCTACGCAGCCTGATCCCACACAGCTCCCCTACGTTCCCTGTCTGTCAATCTGACCACGTACAAGGGCAGCCCAAGGTGACAGGGAACAGCCCACAGGGGTGGTTTCCACCATGATGGAAGATGTCTTTCCAAGGAAATACAGAAAGCTCAGACAGGGGAGGCACTGTTATCTGTTACTTCCTGGCTCTTGGCGGCCCTCAAGGGGGTGAGAAAGGCTACCCTGGGGGGCCTTAGCTGCCAGCATCCCCTCAGGGAGGAAGAACACACTACCTGGAGGGGTTTGGGAAGGCAGGGACCTCTGAGAGCAGCTCTTGGGGACAGTAGGTGGCAGCAGCCGCTCTGCCACCCCCCCACTCAGTCATCACCCTCCTCAATCCACAGCGGGCGGGTTTGCTCCTGGAAGATGCATCCACGAACCACCTTGGGCAGCTCCTCGGCGTGGC